TACTAGGGGTTCTCATCTCACATAGAATTAGCCCATGTCCTTACTGTGGCCTCCAGGGCCTTAATTACAGGGCTCCTCATTACTTCTCTAACTGTGTTTCCATTTGCACTACCCCCTGCAGGGTGCTCAGCTCCAGCCACACTGTGGCTCTTTCTTGCTGTCTCTCCTGATGCCAGGCATTGCTCCCCTTGGGCCTTTTCTCTTGCTGTTTCCTCTGCCCAGAATGTTCCCCCTAGAATATCCATGTGGCTGGCTCCTCCACCTCCTCCAGATCTTTGATAAAACGTCACCTTAATGAGAACTTACCTGACCAACCCATTTAATATATGCATTTTGTGTCTTTTTAAATTTTATTGTGAACATGCAGAAAAATCCATTTTATACACACACACACACACACACACACACACTGAATAAAACAAACACCAGTATAGCCCAGACCAGCACTGCCAGCAGCTTTGAATTCCCTTCTCCCCAGTACACACACATGGCCTCCCATCCTTGCTGCTCCTTTGGATCTAACCACTGTGCAGAATTTTGTGATAATCATTCTCTTGCTCATTTGATAGTTTTAACACCGAGGTATGCATCCTCAAACGATATAGTTGAGTATTGTCTCTAAACTCTCTATGAGTAGATTCAAACTGTATATATTCTTTCACCTTGTTTTTTTCACCCTTGATGTTATACATAGCTATTAGTTTGCTCATTTTCATGACTGTATAGTATTTAATTGTATAAATATGCCTCAATTTATGTATCCATTCTGGTGGTGACAGGCATTTGGGCTGTTTCCAGGTTGAGTTATTATAAACAGGGCTTCCATAGACATCCTTGTACATGTATTTTGCTGCTCATGGACACAAGTTTTTCTAAGACAGATACCCAGGAGTAGAACTTCTCAGAAACTTTCAGTTTCACTAGATAATGCCAAACTATATCCAAAGTGTTTTGTTTTTTCACCTTATACTCCCAATAGGAGAGTTTAAGATGCTCTTTTGATCTTTTCCAACACTTGTTATTTACAGACTTTTGGGCATATATGGTATCTCATTGTGGTTTAAATTAGAATTTCCAGGATTACTAATGAGACTGGGTACTCTTTTATAGGTTTATTGGCCATTTGGATTTTCTCTTTTGTGAAGTACATATTCATCTTTTTCCTATTTCGTACTGAATTACCTTTTTCCATGTTTTTTAATTCTTTATATATGTTAAGAGTAATTCTTTGAGTTATAGTTGTTGCAAATACATTATCCCATTCTGATAATTTGTCTTCTCACAGAGTTTATTAGGTATTTTATGAACTTAAATTCTTAATTCTAATATAGTCAAATTTACCAGCATTTTATTATGGTTGTGCTTTTTGTATCTTTCTCAAGAAATTCTTCCCTACCCCAAGGTCATGAAAATATTTTTTTCTTACATATTTAAAAACTTGATTGTTTTCCCTTTCACAGTTCATCTTTAAAATACACCTAGAATTGATGTTTTTGAGTTGTGTGAATAAGGCCCAGTTTTATTTTCTTCTGTATGGACACCCAACTGTCCCAGAAGCATTTACTGAGAAGTTCATTCTTTCCCCCATTCATATGCAGTGCCACTTTCATTAATCTGGTTCTTGGTTTTCTATTTTGTTCCATTGGTCTAATTATCTCTTCCCACAAGAATATAACATTATCTTACTTATTGTAGTTTTATAATTAGAGTAACATATCCATCCTTCAAGAGTTTGTTGACTCTTCTTAGCCTTTGTGCTTCCATATAAATCTTAAAATCAGTTGATCGACTGGACAATCTAAAGACCTTAGAACATTATTGTTCTATTTATTGCCCACCCAACTTACATATTATTGTTGCATATATTTTAGTTCTATCTTCTTTAACTTCATGAAAATTGGCATCATTATTTTTACAGTCAAGGTTCATATAGGTTTTCTCACATATTTACCACTTTAAAAGCTCTTCATTCCCTTCTAAAACCATGGTCTTCCATATGGGATCATATCCAAGGTACATTCTTAGAATTTCTTTTAATGAGAGATTCAGTTGATAGCAAACTCTCAGTTTTTATTTGTCTACAAATATCTCTAATTTATCCTTATCACTACATGATGTTTTTCTTGGACATAGAATTCTTAGTTAGAAATTGTTTTGTTTTCAGCACATGAAGAGGGCTTTTCATTGTATTCTGACTTCCAATGTGCTATAAAATATCAGTTTTAAGTCCAGGTGACTTTCCTTTGAAGGTAATTTGCCTTTGGATTTGTGGCTGCTTTTGAGACTTTTCTTGTGTCTCATATATTCTACAATTTCACTATGATATATCTAGATACAGATTTCTTTTTACCTTTTCTGCTTGGGTTTCATTGGGATTCTTCAATCTGTGGATTGGCATTCTGCAACAACTTAGGAAACCACCAGTCCTTATATCTCATTCATTACCTGTTCTCTTTCAACCTGTCTTCCATATTGCCAATTTTTTGTGTCGCTATACTGTATTACGGATAATTTATTCCAGCCTGTATAGAAGTTTATAAATTCTCTCTTCAGCTTTGTCTAACTTGTTGTTAAGTCTATCCATGGCTGAGGCAGGAGAATCGCTTGAACCCGGGAGGCGGAGGTTGCAGTGAGCCAAGATTGCGCCACTGCACTCCAGCCTGGGTGACAGAATCAGACTCTGTCTCAAGAAAAAAAACAAAATCTATCCATGGTCGTGGGTGTGTGTGTGTATACACATATATATACACATATATACATGGTATATAAAAATCATATATGTAACAATATTTTTGTTAATTTCTATATATATATTTATTTCTAGCAGATAGAGGTTTATTGGTTAGTTTTCACATCTGCTAGATAATTTTCAAAATAGTTTCTTATTCCTTGTGTATATTTTTAAGTTTGCTGTTTTAACCTGTGACTGATAATTTCAATATCTCTGGTCTTTGCTGTGTGTTCCCGCTGGTTCTTTCACATGGTGCTTCAATTTCTTGAGCAATTAGTTGTTTTTGACTGTGTTCTCTTCATTGCCCTTGAAAAATTATTTTGGGTGACTTTTTGAGGCCTGGCATAAATATGCTTCCCTACAGAGAGAGCTTGTATTTGCTTCTTCTGGGCACCTGGGAGCCCTACTAGTGTTAAGTTCACAACCTGAGGTTCCCTGATCCTCTTATGTGGTGACCCAGGATAGAAAGCCACAATAGGGATTGCCCCTGGCCACTTCTTAAGGACAGAGTTTTGTTTTCCCTTTCCTCCCTTTTCTGCTTAGATCCATAACAATTTTTTTTCTGTAGTCTCATAAGTGGGAAAGGGTGTGTATAGTTCAGTTTCATCTTTACTCTGAACATAGCCCTTTGGAGTTCTGATTCAATTTGGTGAGGACATCCTGTTACAATCCCCACTTGGGGCCATCCGTCATCCCTAATTTCTATCCTGCTTGCTCCCATAAAACCGCCAAAACCAAAGCCTAGGTTTGCCTAGACGGGCAAATGTTCTCAAGGTAAAAGTAGCTCTAGTGCCCAGGCATTTGTTTCCTTGGTTCCCATTTTCCTTTAGATTTTAGCCTCTGGTATTACTTCCTATTCTGTCAGCCCTTTGAGGCTTTGAGAAGATTGAAAAATATATTCATTCAATTTTTTTGTAAATTTTAGCAAAATGGGAAGTTACAAATATCCTAACCTACTACTACGGGAGACAGAAGTCTATTTTACCTATTTATTGTTATTTATTTACTTATTTATTGTCTGCAAATTTTTTAAGAGAGGGATTATTTTGTTTTGTTTTCTGCTGTATCCCCAGTGTCTAAGAATGGTGTCAAGCACATCGTTTGACTCATTAAATATTGAATGAAGGAATAAACTCTTTAACAATAATATGCATATTGTGGGAGGCTTTGAAGTGCTAAATTAAACTTTATGTCATAACAGCTTAACACACGGCAACTCACCACATATTCTTGAATAAATTCCACATGCCTTGCACTTGTTAAGCAATGAAAAGAAAGCAAATTTAGACTTCTAAGCTGTGGCAAGGCATCCATCAACTCTGTACTTCATCTGAAAAATGAGGAGTTGAATTGGTGATATCTAAGTTTCCTTCACCTTTTACATTTCCGAGATGAAAACACAGTTCCTGTACTTAAAGGTCATGATGGCAAAAATAATGACCAAAAAAAAAAAAAAAAAAAAAAAAACCCTCAGGCCAGAGTCAGAGTTACAACAATTTCCAGACCAATTTTTGGAATAAGTGATCCCTCTTCCACCCTGCAACTAACATGTAGGCCTACTTAGAAATGCTCTGAGCTGTGAGTACACACACTCCTTTGTAAAGCAGAACCTCCAATCTTGAATACTGTAAGGAATATTTTCATAAAGAGATATGGGGTATTAGTAACCCTAACATTGTCCTCTAGTTTCAGGTACTGCTGTCTTGCCCATGCTGGCAAACAAGAATAAACTGCTACCACCTTATTGATCTAACTCAAATAGGAATCACAGGATTTTCCCTCAGCTTTCCCTGACACAGCTGAGACCATCTGGGTCTTGCAAAAGGGCTGTACCAAACTCTAAAGTACAGTACAAGGAAATAAACCCAGCAACTACAGGAAAGCTGAAGAATCACAGTTACCAAGCCCAAGCTGGTTATCTCCTGTGGCTTTCAGACTCTGGTCTATCCACAGACATCAGAGAGAGCCACCCCACAGCCCAAACAGGCTGCTGCAATTGCAGCCATCTTACCTGATTCCTTCTCCAAGTTTCTGGTCTGTCTCGATGTGGAAGCACCATCTGGTAACCTACTCCCCGGGAGTTCCAACTTCCAGCCTGTGTGGTCAATGGCCTCACTATCAGACAAGATCCGACCCCTCTACACAGGACTGTGGCTTTCCCTTTACCAACCTCTCATGATTTTCCTAGCAGAATATAATATCCACAATAGTCACATAACAGCATCTACATGCATGCAGTCACAGGCAAGTGGTCCCTCAAAGAAATTACCATGAATAAGATGGAGGCAAAGTTCATCAGGTAACCTGGGAAACGATCCTTCCAGGTCAGTTTATCTTCATCATCCTGGGGAGAAACAGGAGAGCAGAGACAATCAGAAGTCACAAATAACAGATATTAATTTGCTCTCAATTTGCATATATTTGCATATGATTGATCATTATCACCCTATATAGATATATTTCTAGTCACTGATGACTTACTCTCATATTATCAACAACTCTCCTAATTTTATAATTTCTAGATAAGCTGGAATAGCCTGGAAAAATTACAATGAAAAAAGGATAAGATTTTATTTCAGCCTCACACTGGGCTGACGTTCTAATTCAACCACTTATCAGCTGTGTGATCCTGGATATGTCTCTTATTAACATTTCTGACCTTTTATTTATTTCCTCATCTGTAAACTGGGCACAGTAGTGATACCTGCCCTGCCTACTGCACAGGACAGTTTTGTTTTGTTTTAGTAAGAAACATGTGAATACAGTAAAGCAATGGACAAATGACAGATAACAACCCAACCACAGGGCAGCATCCCATAAATAGATTATCTGTTAAATAAAACATCAACCACTGATCTTAGAGCCTAATAATTGTGCAAATTACCACAGTTTTGTTCTTCAAACAGGCTACATGTAGTATTATGTGCTCTCCCTTGTCACAAATCCAAACATTTTGAGGCACAGGTTAAGCTGATCCATTCAATCAACTTGGCTGAGAATCCTACCTTTTTCCCCTTGGACTGGGTCCAGTTCACCCGGGCCATTATCCTGGGACAATTGTATCACTAACCAGAGTCCTCCTTCAGCATGCTCTGAGGACCCTCATTTGGTGGGGGACAGGGGAGGGGCTGCCAACAGCTATGAATGGCAAACAGCTCTGCTAATTAAACAGCTCTGCTGTATAAATTTAGTTCAGGCACTTGATTCCTCTGAGCTTCAGTTCTATAAAATTAGAATGGATACAGCTGTCCTGCCTACTACACAAGGTAGCTGGGAAGACCATCTGAAGCCGTGTTTGTGAAGGTGCCGAGAATATGGCAGAGCACTCCCTGCCAGTACGGCAAGAATCCACCAGTACTTCTGCAAGGTGTCTGAATGCGGCTCAGCGGTGAGCGCTCCAGGGCCCCTGCTCTCTCCTCTCCCTTCCTCACCACTGATACTCAGAACACACCTGATTTGGTGCTAGCAACAGTGCCATCTAGCCTTTGAAAGCTTGTACTGTAAGCGAAGGACCTCCTTATCCTAAAAGATTTCTTTCTAAAAATCCCTCTAGGGCCCACTGTGCGTTGATCTTGGTGCCAGGCACAGTGGGAGACAGAAGAAAACTGACAAGATCACCACTCCTGGGGGGCTCACAGGCGAAGGAAACACAGATGACACCCACACACCAAAAGGTTTAAGAATCCCTGGTCAGTTTGGGAGTGAGGGTTATCTTGGGAGTGAGCCTGAAGGGATGTGAGAAGAGGAACAATTCTCATGCCTGCAACTGAACAACAGGTGGAGTTGGCTTAATAAATTGTGGTGGGCATGAGTGTTATAGCTGAATTCACTTAGTAATTAGCACTTGCATTTACAGATTATGTAAACAAGCAATAGATTCAGGTTTGCACAGACTTAGGGATAGAATCCTGTTGCTAGACTCTTAGCCCAACAGGCTTTCCATCACACAGTGAGAACAAGGTAACTACACCTTGTGGCCATTCTGAAGGAATAGGAACATGTGAACCTATTTCTGATGGGATTGGAACAAGACTCATTCACGTTCTTTTAAATTAGGCCAAACATCAAGAGAGATTAGAGTTTCTTTCATTTTCCTTCAGTATTAATTCTTAGTTTCACTCACACACTAACATTTTCCTTACAGGTATTTTTTTTTTTGGAGACGAATTCTCGCTCTGTTGCCCAGGCTGGAGTGCAGTGGCACAATGTTGGCTCACTGCAACCTCCGCCGCCCAGGTGCAAATGATTCTCCTGTCTCATCTTCCCGAGTAGCTGGGACTACAGGCACGTGCCACCACGCCCGGCTAAGTTTGTGTGTGTATGTGAGTATTTTTTCAGTAGAGACAGTGTTTCCCCGTGTTAGCCAGGATGGTCTCGATCTCCTGACCTTGTGATCTGATCCGCCCACTTTGGCCTCCCGAAGTGCTGGGATTACAGGCGTGAACCACCGCACCCGGCCCCTTAAGGGTATTTTTAAAAGATTTTTCAGGCTGTTGACAAGGAAAACTGAGGATGGGCTGACGGATGATAACACTCAATAGGGATTCTGAAGAGAAATTTGAGGGGCCGGGGAAGGACTTTTCCTGAGCCTCCTGCCCAATTATGGTCAAGGTTTTGATGAATAAGTCTTGGTTCAGTCCTACTCAACAAACAAAGTCTAAACAGTGCCAATGGGCCGGGCTCCGTGCTAGATACTGAGGACACGCTGAGGAGAAGGTTCAGCTCTGCCCAGGAGGAGCTCTGAGACCACCAAGGAAACAAGGAAAAGCAATTCTAAGCTAAATCTGATTCGGAAGGTGGCATTACTATTTTGCATAAAAATGAGACATAACTAAAAAGTAACCAAATTAAATGTCCACTCAAAGCAACTAAAAGAAAAACTGCTCACTTTGATATAACGTTCTAGTGTATGTTGAAAAATCACCCCTTATGTTTACATTGGTGATCTCTTTTTTCTGGAAGTCACAGCTCCCAACACACACACAGTGCTCATGCGTTCAGACACTCTCCCAACATAAGAAGCCAAGAGGAACACAAACATTGCACCACCGTCTTCCAAGCTCCCAAAGTCACTAGTAAAAATGACAGTGAGTAAAGTAGTCTTTACTTATAATAATCTGGCTCTAATAATGGAAGCCAATTAAAACTCTCCATTCACGGATACATTAACAACATGAAGACTTGCAACCAAACATCCTTAACTTAAATACATTCTGCTTACAAATCCTATAGCCAGCATATAAGACAGCACAAAGAGAAGTAGGCTTGGAACCAGGACATCCAAGTTCTGAACTCTTGGCTCTGGTCCTTCTTAGGTGAATGACCTTGGGAAATTCCCAGATCCTCAGCTTCTTTATCTGTAAAATAATTTATGTGCCCTATCTGTAAAATATAGTTATATCTATCACACCAAATTACCACGCATTTAAAATTGCCCAGCCTGTGAAGCAGGTCAAGAGAGTGCAGGCACACAGAGGTAGGAGAACTCTTAGCACCTCTCTCTCCTTTTAAAATGGAAATAACACTTGTCCCACCTAAGTGGCCCAGGTATTGTGTGGATCACATGAGTGCACCCATATGAGAGAGCTTTGTAAACTGGAAGGCTCATAAAAGTAAGGTCTAATCAGCTTCATGATATAATCAAAAGCAGGTGACTATAAAGCACTTAGCTAATGCAATCATTGTTAAGACAGGAGCCTAGCTGTCCTCTGTGCTAGCTTCTTTGTCTCAGCTCTTTGTGTCTATGTCCCTTGATGATGGCTCCCAGTTTTGAGCCTCCAGACAGCAAGCAGCACAGTAATAAAACCACATAAGTGCCCTTTTGGCAAGCTAAACATTTGGAAATGAAATCACTGAAAAGGCAATAGGTGAGAGTGCTATTTAAACAAATCCCTTGGAGAATAATTTTGTAAAGTGGCAATCATCCTTGAGTCGTTTTCTTCTTCTTTTTTTTTTTCTTTTTCTTTTTTTAGAGACAGAGTCTCTCACTCTGCCACCCAGGCTGCAGTGCAGTTGCACAATCATAGCTCACTGCAACCTCGAACTCCTGGGCTCAAGTGATCATCCTGCCTCAGTCTCCAGATTAGTCGAAATTACAGGCGTAGGACATCACACCTGACTTCATTTTTAATTAAGATATAATTTACACACAGTACATTTCACCTTCATTAGTGTTTAGTTCTGTAAGTTTTGATAAATATATAGTCATATAACCACAACCACAATCAAGACGTAGAACAACACCATCACTTCCCATTATTCTCCCATGGCCCTTTGTAGTCCATCACCTCCCCCAATCCCCAGAACCTGACAAGATCTGTTTTATGCCCCTTTGGTTTTACCTTTTCCAAAATGTCATATAAGTGGATTCATAGAGCAGGCTGTTGAGTTTGGCTTCTTCGACTTGGCATTTGAGATTCATGTTGTCCATGTGGTTGCATGTGTTGATAGTTTGTTCCTTTTTATTGCTGAATAATATTCCACTGTGTGAAGGTACCACAGTTCATTTGTCCTTTCACTATTTGAGGGATGTTTGAATTGTCTCTAGTTTTTAGCAATTATGAATAAAGCCATCGTAAAAGTGTCTGTGCACTAGTTTTGGTGTGAACATAGGTTTTCATTTCCCTTGGATAATTACCAAGAAATGGAATTACCAAGTCATAGGGTAAGTATATGTTTGACTTTATAAGAAACTACCAGACAACTTCCCAAAGTGGGTGTACCATTTTGCATTTCCATTAATAAGATATGGTATTTCCTTCCTCTATTTTCTTTATTTTATTAAACACATTTTTAATTTAGAATAGTTTTAGATTTACAGAAAAGCTTCAAAGGAGTTCCCATATACCCTGCACCCAGTTTCCCCTATTTATATTAAATATATTTTTTCACAACCAATGAACCAATATTGTACAGTATTATTAAAGTTCATACTTTATTCATATTTTCTTATAAATATAATATAAAATCTAATATTACTTAAATTTAATAATACACTATTTATATTAGTTTTTACCTAATAGCCATTTTCTGTTCCAGGGTCCCCTCAAAGAAAACTCATTATATTTAGTCGTCATGCCCCCTTAGACTCCTCTAGACTGTGACAGTTTCTCAGACTTTTCTTATTGGTGGTGACTTTGTTCGTTTTGAGGTGTACTGGTCAAGTATTTTGTAGAATGTCCCTCAACACAGGCTTGTCTGAAGTTTTTCCCATGATTGGACTGAGGTTATGCATTTGGGGGAGGAAGACCAAAGAGGGAAGGGGTCATTTTCATCACATCATATCAAGGGTACAGGCTAGAATATGACTGACCACTGATGACGTCAACCTTGATCTCCTAGTGG